CAGCAATGTTGGAAGAAAGCCATAGTAAATCCGTTCGGACTTGGAGCCTTGTCACCACACATGGTCTTCAGAGCCCCAAACACCTCCTTCTTCGTAAAAGCCCGCCTCAACCCCTCTCCGATCTCTACAGAAATAACATCAAATGTTAAAACCTACCATCACAGCATCTCCCAAACCTTCTTTTGCTGAACCTAAATAATCTCAAACAACGAACAAATCAGCCCCCAAAGACGATAAGCAACAGAACAAAGAAGAAATAAATGATCAATCGACTCCGCAGCAGCACACGAGGCACCTTAGAAGGAACACGAGGCACCCATATACTTCTCCAAGGAAATTCACCCACCACCTCCCCCACCAAACTCCGATAAAAGGATTGAACCGAGAACTAACCTTTGGTACCCACCACATTCCAAACCACCACATCTTCCTCCCTATCCGAAAGCCCAACCTATACAAAAATGTGAACTAACAAGGAACAACATATAATTTTATATATTATTATATGTTATATTTTTTAATATTATTAATTTAGTCAATATCAAATTTTTATTCTCATCGAATTTGTAAGCCTTTGGCATGCTATTCTAATGAAAAATAAAAAATTGGAACATTGCGTGTCACTAACATGTTCGATTCCTTTAACGTGTTCGGTGTGTGTTCGTGTCAGATACATGTCAGACACCAATTTATAACTTTCAAAGAGGTGCTCATGCTTCATATCATGACAATAGCACTAGTAAATGAGAGTTTAAATGTTGTGATAGTATGTGGAACTATATGATTTAGTGGGGCATAATGGAAGGTAGTGTTGCAAATAAGTTAAGTCGAGTTGAACTTTGAAGTGCTTTGGCTCATTTGTTTTGGAGCTCAAAAATTAATCAAACTCAAGCTCTACTCGTTTTAGGTCATAGCTCAATAACGAGAAAAGTATGAACTCGATAATAAAATTTGATCAACTCGTTAAATATCATTCTACATTACAATATGTATATATTACACATACATTATTTAACATAAAAATAATATATTTATCTTATTATTAAATAAATAATAAATCAAATGGACTTATTCTACCTAAAGTACGGCTCGTTATTAATCAAATTGGTTTTTATATACAAGTGAAGTTGAGCTCTGTTCATTTCTCCTTCCTACTTAATTTACATTGCAGGTGTTTGGCAAAGCTGCTAAAACAGATTATAGATTATAACTTTAATAAGAAGTTGTTAATCTGTTTGGTGTAACTGCTGGATTATAGATTTAAGTTGCTAAGTAGTGTTTAGTAAATAAGTTATGAAATAACTTTTTGAATTAATTTTTATTTTTTATTATTCACTATTAGTCCACACACACACACACACACACACACACAAAAACCATAGTCTATTTGAGTCTTTTTCTATTTTCAAAGAAAAAACAAAATCCTAAAAGTATAATCGTAAATTAATATGACCACAGCAGAAGTTGAGAATAAGAAGCATAGACAAACAACTTCTTAGAATTAGCTTTTTATGAATTAAAATAAGTTCCTAAAATCAAAACCCATTTAAAATAAGTTTAACCAAATTATGGGTGTAAACGGTTCAGTTCGGTCGGTGTTAAGAGTATATTTAAGACCGAACCAACCCTTTTGGTTTTTATAATTGAGAAACCGATACAGACTGTATGCTACGGTTCGGTTTTATCGGTTTTGTCGGTTTGATGTAAAAGAGAAATTTATATGAAATTTTAAAAGGTTTTATAGTAGATTATGGAATTTTACATTGAAAATAAATGAAGAAAATATATAAAAATTGCTCTATGAATGTTGTTCTCCCTAATTTGTATCACAAAAGTGTATTATCTTAGTTACTTCTCATATAATGTTTAAAAAATTAAAATATAAAATATTTAAATATAATATGCAGTTGATTCAATTTACATGAATATAACAAGTTTCAAAATTGAAATAAACCGTATGTTATGAAAAATAGACCAAAAACTTAAATTTCGGTCGGTTTCGATCAATGATTTCGATTTTATCAAATGTTTTTTACATTCCTAAACCAAACCGTCTAAGATAATATTTCTAAAATTAGAATTTATAAGTTGCCATAATTAGCCACACTAAACACTCCCATTCTTTCATTACTATGTATGGTCACTCGTACCAACGAAAATCAATCTACATAAAGGCACCTAAAAGCCTGAGCCAGACGAATTGGACATAAAATTAATTAACGGTACGAAGACAAATGTAAGATATATTGATTCATCAAAATTGATCGATCTGAACCGATCTGTTGTATTTTAGACTGATGCGTGATGACGGTTGCGGATTGATTTTCTTCAATTCGTCAATCTGGCAGACGGATGGCGGATTAACACCCCTATTAATTTATAAGACTTTGTATTTTTAGTTTGTTTAAATATTCTGTTTGTGCTTTCAATTAAAAAAGAATTTAAATATTCTGTTGAAAAAAAGTTTTCAACTTGAATATCTTTTTTGAATTGAAAAAAATAAACGTATTATTTATTTATATTCTTTTGTTTTTAAATCTATCTCTAACAATACTAAATAGAAAATATGATATATGCTGGTTGGTAATACAGAGACATATAATCTCTATTACTACTATGTTCATAGTTTTGGTGGTTTGAATTGTTTTTATATTTTAAGAACTACAGATTGTAATACTTTATGTAGATGAGGCATGCTGTGATTGTAGTATGTGGATAAGACATGTAGTGATTGTGATATTTTAAAGTTTCAAACTTTCTTACTTTTGATAAGGCATGCAGTGATTGTAATATTTTTTTAAGTCATTAACTGTAATACTTTTTTCTTTTTCTTTTTCTTTTTTTAAGGAAGTGCACAAGTTGAATTATGTTGAAAATTTATAAAATTTTAACTGCCAAACCGATTCGTATCCATCCGCCAAACCGCCAATCCGCTCAATCCATATTCGCCGGATTAGCGGACGGATGCGGATTGATTTTTTCCAATTTGTCAATCTGACGAACAGATAACGGATTAAAAATTTCGTAACCGCAATCGACCCGCGCTCACCCCTAAAATCCACCACACTCGCAACAAAAAACAACTTACAAAAAAAAACAGGGAGCACCAAATGTTTCGCAACGGTGGACCAACTAATTCTTTGTTTGGTTTATTGAAATTGACATAAAATGATCATTTCTTTGTCTATGTACAAAGGATCATTCATTATTATAACCTGAAATGAAATGATTATTTTTTAATTTTCATAAAATAATATTAACAATATTATTTATTTTGCCTAAAAAGGGTTTGTTTAACTATTTTTTCATCTATATTGTTTATTTTACACATATCTATTTACATATAATGTTTAAAGAGCCTATCAAAATTAGCAAAAAAGAATTTTGTTAAAATAAATATAATAGCAAGTCAACTAGAGTAAGTAAAATACAATATGACTAGTTACAATATTAACAAGAATCTCCTTACGAGATTGTGTTTAGTTTATAGATTTGAGAATGATTTAAAAATAAAAAGAAAAAATATGTGTGAAATGTAAGTAAAATCCACCATTTTTAAATTTATAAAACAAACGCATTCTAAAGATTAGAGTTGATCTCATTCAATAATCATTCATTCACAGTATATATTTACTAATTTTTTTTAAAGCTGTATTTGTATCCCCATCTAAAAAAAAATTGTGCTTGTATAATGGATTTGAGTATAAGATTTAAGGTTGGTTTGGCATAAATTAAATAATACAAAAAGTCAAAAAGTTACTATCCTATTTAAGTCACGTCATCTTATTTAAATCACATCACCTCCCTAACACATGACATCCAACCCAACCTAAACCCAACCCATATAAGCCAATAAATCAAAAATTGTACTTTTTTAAAACATTCCAAACCAACCCTTAAAATCGGTATCACTCACATGTAGTTCACTTTTTTTTTAATCTCTAACTAAATTTATATCAAATACATGATACAAACACAGCATTAGTTTTAATCTAGAGTGACTTACAAGGATATTGAGCTTGCCATTGAAGAGAGAAGAGACTTCATCCAACATCTTCTCTCTTTGAGGCCGAGACGATACATCGCAGACCGAACCGGTGACCGTGAAACCCTTGGCGGACCATTCCTGCAAGCAACGACTGAGCTCGGATTCGTTGCGAGAACAGGTGTGCACGATCGCCCCTTTATCGGCTAGTTCCTCCACAACATCGTGCCTAAAATACAATACAACCAATCAATCAATCAAAACCCTAGAAAACATGAATCGTCAATTTCAGGCGGAGAGACAGAGAGAGAGATGACGCATATACCCGATGCCGCGAGTGCCGCCGGTGACGAGAGCGGTCATTCCGGCGAGAGACCATCTCAAACCTCTCTCACTGCTCTCCACCTTCTTCGCCATTTTGACTCTCTCTCTCTCTCTCTCTATCTCTCTCTGTGCCTTGTTTGGAAAGTTTATTATTTTAACTGGTAATTTAGCTTTTTAATTATTTTGGGTTATTTTCAAAAATTAGTTAAATATTGTTTCTTTTTAATTTTTTTAAATGTATAAAAAAAATAAAAATATGATATAATTCAAAATAGATTAACAGTTAAAAAATAACTTTTAATCATGTTTCTAAAATAACTTTTTAACTTGTTTAAAATATTTGTGCTTAGAAAGTTATTTTTTTTTATAATTATCAAATTAATTATAAAAAAATAAAATAATTATAATTTAAATATAATATTTTATCATGTTCAATATTTAAAATTATTTTATTCTTCTAGTAAGCTACTTTTACCTCTATACACCCCTCAAACACTCATTTTGTTTGGAGATTTAGAGGTGTGATGCCTGTGTTTGGCAAGTGGGTTTGCAGGCTTTTTTGGCTATTTTAGCCACAAAAAACAAAATAGGCTATTTTAGCCATAACAAACAAAACATCACATCCAACCCATAATCATTACATTCTTCTCTCACAAAAAAACTCAAAAAAGCCAAAAAGCCAAAAAGCCCTTCCCAAACCAAGCTTTTAAGCCCAGGCTAAAATAGCCAAAAAAGCCAAAAAGCCAAAAAGCCAACCCACTTCCCAAACCAAGCCTGTTTTGAGAGATGGAATGAGAATTTATAATCCCCTCCGGATTAGGATGAGGAGAGGATTAGAATAGAGACTTGAGACTTAGTATTAGAAAATAGTTCGCCGAACTATTTTTTTTACTAGTTGGGTAATTTTTTTTGAACATTAATGCTTAATTTTTTATATTTTTTGTTAAGTAAAAATCATTATTTTATTTGTTTTATTTTTTTTTGAAATTTTTTTATTTTATTTTATTTTTAAAATTTTTTTTACATGTTGAGCATTTTTTTTAAAACATTAATGTTTAATATTTTGTATTTTTTTATTTATTTTATTATTTTATATTTATTTTTTATAAAAATAATTTAACAATCTCTACACTAACAACTATCATCAAAACAAACACAATTTTACTTAGTCTCCTCACTATCAATCCTCTCACTATTAATCTTCTCACTACCAATCCCCTCCATTTTACATCTTAAAACAAACGGGGGCCTTTGTCTCTCTCTCTCTCTCTCTTTTGAAAATGTTATAAATTTTAAACCTCCGTTTGGCAAGTTGGCTTTGAGATTTTTTGGATTAAAATAGTCACAAAAAATTAAATAAGTTTTTTTACTTCAATAAGACAAAATATCACATCAAACCTATAATCATTACATTCTTTCTCTCACAAAAAAGTCAAAAGCCTTTCCCAAAAATTTTTTAATCCCAAATTAAAATAGTTAAAAAAGTTAAAAAATCAACCCACTTTCTAAACGAAGCCTAAATAATTTATTAAATTTTTTATCAAAATTTTTGCATGGCTGTGAACCTATATAAACCCACATATATATGAAAAATGACTTAGACCCTCAGTTGGGGGTGCAGGGGTCGTCCTTGATTGGTGCAAAAATAATTTTTTTTTTGGATTTCGACTAATCACACGTTGCCACGTCACTAGGAGTGGCACTGAGGGTCGTCCGTACTGAGAATCCGTAGCATTGTTGCATATACATAAATTATACAGTTATGTAAAAATTTTAATAAAAAATTAAATAAATTATTTAAAATTCCTACAATATCTCTTTTGTTTCAGATCGATGGTTAGGAATCATAGGATAGTGGGCAGTGCTGTAGGCGAGAGCATTTTAAAAAGGCTCAAAGGTCGGTCGTCGTCTGCTGAGATGTTCACAACAGTATGGTCTTCATGGTCGATTTTGGAACATGGTCTTCATGTTTCTGTTGTGAACAAACATCATGGTCTTCATGTTCACAACAGTATGGTCTTCAACAACAGTATGGTTGTTGATGATGTATATTCTTGTTGTTGTTGCTTCAATCTCTACACCCATCTTCCATGTAAAACCATCTATATCCATATATATATCTTCATCACAACCATACCTATCAAAATGCACAACACCCAAAATCAAAACCAGACCCAAAACCACATTCACGGCGCTGATGTTGCGATGTTGATCATGTTGCTGATGTTCCGATCTCACGGCGCTGATGTTGCGATGTTGATCCAAGTGCTGCTATTTACCCATCACGAATTGTAAAACAGAGACGAAAAATTGATGTTGATGTTCGAATATATAATCGATACAATAATACATCTTCAGTTCTGACTTGTGAGAGAGAGAATTATTCAATGTTTGATGTTCGAATATATCGAATATATTGAATCTATTCCTTAATGTTTGATGATTATTTAATGTTGGATGTTTGTTGATGTTTAATGTTTGTTAATCTGGAGAAATTATTTAATGTTTGATGATGTTCGAATATATTGGTGATGATGTTCGAATGTTGATGATGTTTGTTGATGTTGTGGTGTTCACAATTTTTTTATGATGTTTGTTGATGTTTGATGATGTTTTGTTGATGTTGATGATGTTCACAATTTTTTTGATGATGTTTGATGTTGTTGACGTGTTTGATTATGTTTGTTGATGTTTGTTGATATTTTAATGTTTGATGTTGTTGATGTTTTGATTATGTTTTGTTGATGTTTGATGTTTGTTGTTTGTTAATGTTTGATGTTCATAAAGGAATGGAATCTAAAAAATGCCTATAGTAAGCTTCTTGGGCAATTCGGTAAATTACACATAAACACCAACCCAAAATTATCCCATCAATTACTGACCCAGTCGCCTAAAAAAATGGGTACTAATGTCTTTACACATAAAATAGGACCTATTAGTCCAACAAAAAACCTTCAGGACTAAATGGGTTAAGATTCTCAAATTCGGGATTTAATGGTGCTTTAAATTCAAACCTCAGAGTAAAATCAATAAATCAATCATGATAAATATAAATCGTATAATTTGGTTTAGTTTTTTGAGAGGTGGCCTGGTTACGATTTGCAATGATTAATTATGATTCGATTCACGATTTTAAAAATAAATTATATTAAATTAAGCTAATTAACTCCATTCTCATACTATATTATATTATATAAAGTAGCTTGGCAATATTAATCAATCTCTTTAACTTTTTTTTCTTTTCTTTTTTTTTTCACTCACACAATTGCATCTTTAATTTCTTTTCATATTATCATCATAAATAAGTAGTAAACCATCAATAATTTTTTAAAAAAATAACAAAATAGTGTGAACGCAAGTTTTATGTTTGATTTCACAATTTATACCAGTAAAATAAACGACTCAACCCTTATGTGAAAGTATTGTCCATCACAACTCAATCTAACAGTGAACTTTATAAGTTTGTCACTTTAAATTCTAAACTCAAAAGGTGTATCCATTCACAATAAAAAATATCATATACTTTCTTATAAAGTCTATTTTTGACATTATTAATATTAGACATGGGATTGAAGATTGTTAAACAAACCAAACTACTCAAACTCAACTGTATTCAGTTTATTAAGTACTCTTTGGAGATCTACTCATAATATAAACAAGTCAAGTTAAAATACATTTTAAAACTTGTTAAATTTTTTACTCAAATATATATTATCGGTGTAATCCACCGAAATCATCTCCTTGCATAGAAATGTGCTTTGACATTTGTTTATAAAGGCTACCAGCACTACGGTTATATTTAGTTTGAGTTTTAGAATTTGTTTTTTCTTTTATTTAAAAGATTAAAAATTAATTTTTAAAAAATAAAACAAAATTAAGAAATATTTATATTTTTATATAGTTTTATTATTTGGGAAGGTCTAAATAATTTTGAAAAACTTCAAAAATAATTTTTTGATATTTATTTAAGTTTAGTTTTTTTTTTTAATTTTGAAAAAAGTTTCAAAAAATCAAATCACTCATGGCCTACATCATTTGACCTGAAATGTATGTTTAATTTTTTTTTTTTATATTTAGGATAGAACAAGAAACTTGGTCGTTGAATTGCATGGCAGTTATTTGTTTGAGAAGCTTATTAAAAATCGAATTTTAGTTTTTCTTTTTTTTGACCATTTTTAAAAAATGTGTAAAAAGATAGAAAGATAATGTGACTGAAAATAGGTTTAAAAATCAAAAATTAACTTTTAGCCAAGTTTTTAAAATATACCCCCAAGTGGCAATGGTCGCCTCAAAGTATGCTTATTTTAGAAATTAGATTAAAAGTTAGCTTATTGGCTTTTAAATATTTTTTTTTTGGTATCACATCACTTTTTTATGTTTTGTACATTTAAAAAAAAAAATACTAATTGATATACTAATTACTATACTAACAGAAAATGCAACATAATTTTAGGGGTTTTGAGTCTTTATAATTTATATAATATGTGGAGTCATAATTTTAAAATATTAATGTCATAGCATATGTTGGTACACTAATTAGTACATGTAGTATCACCATAAAAAATAAAAAAAATTAATAACTAAAAAGTAAATTTTTAACCTACTTCCCAAAATAGTTAGGTCTTTCATTTTTTAAAAAATATTTATCATTGTCATCGTAGTTTTATTAATGTTACTATCAAATTATTTTTTGTTATAAATTTTATAAAATTTTGTAAAAATATTATTTTTTAAAAGGAGAATATCAAAAAAGTAGAGAGTGGAAAAATTATGGAGAATTTTTTTTAAGGTCTCTAGTATTAAGATTTTATAACATAAAGGACACTCAATATTTTCATAATGTCTAAGGTCCCTCAACATCAATCCAGAGAAAATTCAATGCAGAGAAAATTTGATCCAGAGAATTTCTTTGGACAAATCACAGAGAAAATTCAAATTTCTCTAGACACATCATAGAGAAAATTTCAAATTTCTTTGAATTCAATCCAGAGAAATTTTCCTCTTCACTCTAGAGAAATTTACTCATTCCTAGAGAAAATTCCCTCCAACCAGAGAAATTCACTTGTTGTCTGCAGTTTGATAGAAGGGTTCAAGAATATAACCAATACGAGACACAATGAAATACGTGGAACTAAAGAGTGT